CCTCCCTCTCTCCCTCCTGCCCCCTGTGTCCCTGTCTGCCTCCCTCTCTCCCTCCTGCCCCCTGTGTCCCTGTCTGCCTCCCTCCTGCCCCCTGTGTCCCTGTCTGCCTCCCTCCTGCCCACCTGTGTCCCTGTCTGCCTCCCTATCTCCCTCCTGCCCCCTGTGTCCCTGTCTGCCTCCCTCTCTCCCTCCTGCCCCCTGTGTCCCTGTCTGCCTGCTGACACATTATTTTGTACATGTGACCCCAGGACGTTCACCATGGCAATGGTACCCAGGAGGTGTTCTACAGAGACCCCAGTGTGCTCTATATCTCACTGCACCGCTATGATGATGGCAACTTTTTCCCTGGCAGCGGGGGGCCGAATGAGGTGAGGATCAGTGTAACGAGGCGGGAGTCTGTATCTGTCTGTCTGCCTGTATCTGTCTGCCTGTATCTGTCTGCCTGTATCTGTCTGCCTGTATCTGTCTGCCTGTATCTGTCTGCCTGTATCTGTCTGCCTGTATCTGTCTGTCTGTTTGGCAGACCCATGTCCCCGGTCGGTAATGAACACATTACCATGTCTGTTCCGTTGTAGGTGGGCTCTGACGCTGGTGAGGGCTTCAACGTTAATGTCGCGTGGACAGGAGGCCTGGACCCCCCTATGGGTGATGCGGAGTATCTGGCTGCTTTCAGGTAACAGGCCGCTCCCTCTAGCGGTCACATTCAGGCCCATGACCCACAATGCATTTCAGGTGTCCCTTGCATGTCAAACAGTAATAATGATGAAACTGGCGACAGACCTGAGTGCTGGTGGCTGGAGGCTGTGCCTTTGCCCTGCCCCCAGAAACCGGGGGGTCCTGCTTGCACATCACGAGCTGCCAGACAAACACTTACACACACACACAGACACCGACACACACACACACTTTTTGTTGTTAAATCGCCACTTCCACAGCGCATTAATTGTGAGCGCTCATTGGCTTTAATTAACTTTAATGCTTTCTGTCAGCATTCTGGCGGGCTGCCAGGCAAACGGCTGCCGTTTGCTGTGATAGGAGAGGACTGTGGTGGCAGCGATCTGGGTGGCCTCAGGGTTTTAAAAGCACAATGACGCAAGGATTTATGGTTGCGAGCTCCCCACCCCAGACTCTGGGGCGCCACACACTACCGCCTCCCCCCTGTGCCCCTGCCCCCCACCCCCCCTTGCCACCTGAAGCTGGCATCCTTAATCTGACCCCTGTTACCTATCGATTCATGACGTGCGGGCATGATCATGAAGCTCTTCCTTGCGTTGCTGGGTCACTCCAGCGTGTCAGAGGGTGGACGTTTGGACATGTTGCAGTTTCGCCTACTTGGACGTGGTGTGTCACTGGTGCTCTAAGGACAGGTTCACACACTTTTGGTTTACAGTGACGCACCTATACTCTCAGCACAATGTCTTACGCGGCCCCTAGTGGGAACTCATTTCTCGTTTGGTCCATTCAGAACGTTAACCATTATATATGTGCTGCCCCCCCTCCCTCCCTCCCTCCCACATAGGACATTGTCCCATTAGAGTGTGGTATGGGATGTTTTATTGGTCTTCAGAAGAGGTGGGGTTGGTTTATGGGGGAATTCAGGGGCATAGGAGTGAGGCTTGGTGGAGGGGGGATGATTCGTAGGTTAGGGGAATCCAAAAGCATGAAAATGATCCCAAATGGATCCCAGATGGCGGCTGTCAGTGACGTGAGAAGAGCGACCGGCTCCGAATGGGAAACAGATGGCGGGTGGGCGGCAGCTTTGAAAGTGCCCGGGGGGTGGGGGTGCGGGAGGGAGGAGGGGGGTTCAGACCCCCACCACCTACCCCATGTCTCTCCATCGTTTCTGTGTCCTCAGCATTCTCTGTTTCTCCATCGCGAACATCACAACACGTGTCATAGGAATCCCATGGGGCTGGTGTAACGCACTGCCCATGACATCACCACTTCTATGGATTCCCAGAAGTCATTGAGAAATTTGCTCCCGTCATGAGGGGGGGTGGGGGGGGGGGGGGCACAGCTTCCCCACACACTGGTGAATGGCTTCTGATTTCGGTCGCGGCTCACCCCCTCCCCCCTTACCTCTTCAGGACCGTGGTGATGCCCATCGCACAGGAGTTCTCACCTGACGTGGTCCTGGTCTCCTCTGGGTTTGATGCAGCTGAGGGACACCCAGCACCACTGGGGGGCTACAAAGTGTCGGCCAAATGTGAGTGCATGGAGAGCCGGGGAGGGTGGGGGGAATGGCTGGGACTCTGAACTGCTTGTGGGCACTGCTGGCAGCACAGTACGCAGCACTGGCAGGTTCCTTTGAAGTGATAGCTCTGATTGGCAGTGGGTAGAATGCAGTGAGCTCGGGTGCACAGTACGCAGCACTGGCAGGTTCCCTTAAAGTGATAGCTCTGATTGGCAGTGGGTAGAATGCTGTGAGCTCAGGTGCAGCCACTCTGTTGGCTTAGCTGGCAGACATCTTGTGCAGTGCTGTAGGTATTCCCAGTGTCATGTGACTGTGGGGCGCTGGATTTTCCTTGCCTGCCCTCACTGTGTCCCCATGCTGCAGGTTTTGGCTTTTTGACGCAACAGCTGATGCAGCTGGCTGGGGGCAGGCTGGTGCTGGCACTGGAAGGAGGGCACGACCTCACGGCCATCTGCGACGCATCCGAGGCCTGCGTCAGTGCCCTGCTGGGCATGGAGGTAAGTGGGAGGGGCAGCGTCGCAGATGTGTCCGCAGCCATGTAAAGACGCCTGTAATCGCCGGCCTCTCCCCCAGGTGGAGCCGCTGCCGGAGGACGTGCTGCGGAAACAGCCGTGCCCCAATGCAGTGCGCTCACTGCAGAAGGTGCTGCAAGTCCACAGTGAGTGTCCATGTGCAGGATCCTACCGGCCTTTCTTTAGCAGTTACATGTATAAAGGCAAAGTCAATCTACACTGGAACTGCCCCCAACCCCTCAAACCAATTGCCCTGCACATTCAGGTCTGCACATGTCACCAAACCTAATGAATTTGTTCCCTGCACGGGGAGTATGTGTCATTTTGGGAATGGTCCACTGAAGCAGATACTTTCTTGATAAGACACTAACTCAAAAAGTATTTGATGGATCTTATTCAGACTTTGCAGACACGTTATATGAGTGAACCACTGGAACTCAAATTTGGAGACAAATCGCCTCTAAACTGAAGCAATGTTGCTTAGTGACAGGAAAGGGAAGGGCGACTGTAGAAGACACTTGACCTGGTGAACAGGATACCACTGTTTGATCTTATTACTCTGTTTACTCTATTTCACCTTTAATCGATCATATAACTTCTTCATGAAAGCATTATTTGGATGGAAATCTGTAGCTGATGTCATTTTGAGATAAAATGTTTCGAAATTGAAGCAGCAGTGCTGGCTGGCAGCAGAGGAAGCCTGATAGTGAAGCACCCCTAGTTGGTGGTAATGCAGTGTTAAGACACTGTAGGGCAGTATGCTTATGCCTGTGGTTTAAAATGGGAAAAACAGCTTATGCTTTCATGTTTATCTTGTTAGCTGTTGATAACTACCAAATATACAAAAGAACTTCTGACTTTGAGTACCCTGATCTTAAAATGTCCTCCCACGCCTATTATACAAATTCAGCTGGAAATCCCTGGGATTTTCTGAAGCTGAAAATGGGGATGTGTGAATTTCACATTTCCTTTTCAATTCAGGTAAACAGAAATTCTGTAGCCAGTACACGTCAGTGTAAGTCTGTCAGGCCGGAGTGCTACCTCACCACTGGCGTGCTGTTACGCCAAGTTAATTAGTGCCTGTCTGCAGTTTTTATATATATATATATATATATATAATAAACATTGATGATGGATCCGCTGCCAATCCGTCTGCCTCCTGTCGCCTTCCTGCCTCTGATTAACTTCAAACACTCTCCAGGTCTAGGCGCCACCCTACAACCTCACCCCCCACCCCGGCCTAAGTCCTATTTTCACCCCAGTACTTTGTTCATTAAAAAAAATTTGCAAAGCCGCAAGAATTTGCAGCTGCTCTTTCTGAGAAGGTGTACAGAGCACGTCCTACGCAGTCGCTGTGCCCTGGCTGGTCCAGCACCAAGGACGGTGTGTCCACAGTGGGGGTCTGACCCTCCCTCCCTTCTGTCAGTGTTTGGACCTGGATTCCGTCCTGTGTACCTAACCCCCCCTAAATGCTCTGCTCTCCTGTCTGTTTCAGTTCCAAGTCCGGCTGCTCCGACACAGCTGTCACAAACACACAGAGCATCTCTGCCATAAACCTCTGGGGGTCTCCCCGGCAAAGCTGTATACTTTAACCCCTCTTTTCTCCCCCAGGTCAGTACTGGCAGTCTGTGAAGCGTGTCGCCCACACTGTGGAGATGTCCTTCCTGGATGCCCAGAAACATGACTGTGAGGAGGTGGACACAGTCAACGCCCTGGCCTGTCTCTCTGTCGGCGTCCTCGCCAATAAGAGGTAGCTCCGTCTCTGCAGAAGCCTTGTCCAATTAGGTCATGTGACCTGCAGTCATTCAAATGGCACCATCAACTCTAATCAGTCTCTGTCTCTGACTGTCCCAACATAGTCTCCCTGATGAACCCATGGAACATGATGAGGACTCCATGTAGAGGCTGCTGCCCTTTCTCCTTCGACACGCCCTCCTGTTGGGGCTCCGCCCCGCCCCCTTCTCTGAGCTCTGGTACAGCTGTGCGACTGAAACCTCAGGTGCATCTGCTCGCATCACTTTTCTTGGACCTCGCGCCTTAATGGGATTGTGAGGTCAGCGGTGGCCAAGGATTCCATAAAATCTTAAGGCAAAACTGATCATAACTGCAAAAGAAACTGCTGGGTTTGGGTGGCGGGGGCATGAGGCTCTGTGAGTTTGAACACTGTCCCTCTAATCGGAAGGTTGTCGGTCCAAATCCCAGGGCCACCAGAATTTAAATGACACGCATTTCTTAAGAGTGTAACCCAGTAACAGGCCAGTTCTCCATATGAAACGCCTGCCTTTCCCAGAAGAATGGACTCCTTTTGTTTAATAGGTGCCACACGCAGCCTTAGCCACCCCCCACCCCACCTTATTCAGCCCTCTGTATATTTATATATGCACGCCTGTGAACATCAAGTGTCTCAGAGATCTGAGATCCTGTGTAAAGGTCCCCGGCCTCAGGTGCCCCCCCGGCCTCAGGTGCCCCCTGGCAGTGACACGGCCTGCCTCTCTCCTTCATACCCGCTCACTGTGGATGGTCCCCCGCCCCCCCCCTTTCCACTGACTGTCTTAATATTCATATTATTTAACCACTAAAGAAGCCAATGGAGGGACCGTTGCTCCATGGGGATTTCAAATTTTATTATTTTTTTTTTTTGAGATTTTTGCACTGTGCATTCCTTAATGTGAACTATGAAGCATTTCCATCCTCTGGGCAACCAGAACTTTTATACTGAAACGCAGATTGAAGCAAAAAGAGCTGTTTTAATTTAATTCCATTTCATGAGTCGCCTCTCATGCTCTACAACTAATGTTCACGTCTTAAAGGGGCCGCCACACTTGAAGGTGTAAGCTTGGCGGCTTCTCGTGGCATTTTCCTAAGGACAGATTGCAGTGCTGGTCAGCAGGAAGACCAGAGGCTCTGGTGTCCATTCTGCTGTGCTCCACCAGTCTCGTCACACTTTATTCTGCCATTACCGTGCCTTGCCTCCTGTTGCCTTGGTGATGCCTTCTTGCTCAGTCTTTACCTCTGAGCCACATGCTAAAGGTTTTTCCTTGGAACACTGTACTGGCTCATAACTATTTACTGCCTTCTGCCATTGGTAGTTGTGTCTTAAAGCGACGGTGTAGACTTTCGACAGAGTAATGCACTTACTGGGGTTGTCCACAAGACAAAGATCTTACGTTTAATGCAGTTGCATTAGATTGTGCGTTCGCAGGTTTAGTCAGTTTATCTTTTTCAAGGTCATTCCACTTTTTAAAATTGAATCAAATTAAAAGAGGCCGGTGTTTGACGGCCTGTTAGCCTGTGGGTAGATACTGGCTGCGCAGTGTATTTGATACTCAAAGTTCAGCGACGCTTACTTTTAAAGAACAACAAGTTGATTGAAGTTGTATACAGAAGTTGTATACAGAGTTTCCAAATGAAGTCTGTCTTGAAGTTCTGGTCCAGGACCAGTTGTTTCCGAAAAGGCAGGTGAAGCAATAGCGTATTTTAAAATGAAGCATTGTTTTGTCGGTGCTTCATAGCATGTATGTAGGACAGTATGCAGAGAGACTGTTAATAACTTTGGTGTCATGTTTGCTCAGATCCATGTTGCAGTTCTGTGTCAGGACCATGGCAAATATTAACCATAAACAACCAAAAAGCTATGATGTCACCACACCAGCAAATGCTCCATTCATCTCTCACATTCTAGCCATGGAAATATGTGATTGTACTGAAGCTTTACATTCTCTTTTTATACTTTGGACAGAAACTAACTGGAAGGATGTACTATAACTCGATTGTAGCCTTACAACCACCTATGCGGCCTTTCGTGAATTCGCTACTGCTCAAAACGGGGTCCAGTGGTAGCAGCAGTCAGCGGAGCCGTGACGCGTTTGCTCGTCGGCTGAGTCGAGGCGTTGACCTGCAAGCCATCTGTCTGTGCATGGAGGAGAAAACACTCTGTGGCAGGGCAGACATGCTCACCTGGGCTTGCTGGTGTGTGGGGCCACTTTGTTTCGAATTAAATAAGGACCATGGGCAGCATTCTGCCTGCTAGATCCCACTTTTTGTAAAATTGTTGTACGATAGAACACAAAAAGTTAGTCATTATTAATTATGAGAGTTATAATCGGCCAGAACTAACAGAGACACTGTATCTCTTTTCCGCCCTGCCAGCTGGGTTCCTTTGAGAGCAGTGATTTGTCTCTTTGTAGTTGTTTATATGTATGTTCTGTTTTTGTTCTGATTAGTTTCTTTGTGTTGTTGTTAATGAATTAGCAACATAATCATTACCTCTCCAATGTAGACTTCCCAAGGCCAATGGTCTCTGTCCTAATTCTCTGAATTCCGCCTCTTAAGTTGTTTTTATTATCGATGCTGTAAATAGCTATGAAGACCAAAATCCCTCACCAGTGTGCCTTTTGTAGGAACAGCCATTATTAACTGGAGCATCAAACAAAAATGGCAAAAAAGTCATTGAATTGTTCCCCATACTGTTTTATTACTGTCTGTTTTCACCTCTGTCGTCTTTGTGTACAGAAAAGAATGTCTATTTTGTACTGTTTTTCTCTTCTTTATTAAAAGGGAAACATCTGTTTGCCCAATTTGTCTTGTATTGTAAATTTGTTTGCTTTTACATTGTTTCCTCACAAGTATCATTTGGTTACTGGATTGGACTTGATTGGGCAGGTAAACCCTGAATTGTAAGGCCAACGTACTTAATCATCATATCAGGTAATTTGTCTGACACTACACGAGTTGCTAATGCAGGCATGGTGAAGAAGGTAATGGGTGTTGGTGTGCCTGCAGTTTACCACACAGACCTACAGTAAATCATAAAATCAGAAGCTCCTCCCATCGCCGGACTCCACACGAAATCCTGCTGGATCTCCGCCCTCATGCCTGACTGGGATGTATCATAACGACGATTCATGCATCCAGCTCTGGTGCACCATAGTTGCACCATGAAAGTTCTCTTAACTCTCCTGCTTGAAGTACAGGCGCTCCTCTACTTACGAACGTTCAACTTACGAACTTTCAGACATATGAACGAAGAGGACTAATTCCAAATTGTGTTCATTGGGCTCCAGTTTCCTGTCTGCAACATCAATTTTTTTTTCCGCCTAGTACGACTTCTGGCCGCTACTCCCGCCGCGCAGCAGCGTAGCGTGCGTACTCCCAGCATCCTAGTTCTTAGTACTTCCATATATACCCTAAAATGATGTTGAATAATGGCTTACGAACATTTCAAGTTACGAACGGCCGTTCGGAATGTATCTTATTCGTAAGTAGAGGAGCATCTGTAATCTGTATCTATTGCGTCCATCCCCTTTAATATAAATGCTGATCAAACAAAAGTGATATAAAACTGTTTAGTTTGTGTTCTGGGGGGGTTTTAAAGCTGTTTTACTTTATTTACTTAAAGGATTTCTGGTCACGTGTGCCCTGTGATTGTTTGTTGCCCCATCCTCGGTTGTTCCCTGTCTTGCACCCATGGCCTCTGGGAATGGGTCTGGACCCTCGTCAAACCCTGAATACAACCAGTGCAGAGGGTGGATGGATGGATGGATGGATTTCTGGTTGATAGAGGCTTTGGAGGAAAATGACCTGAGGCTGCGAGTTGAAGGTGTTTCCGGAGAGGGAGTGCCTCCCTTCTGCATTCCATCCGCACCAGCAATAAATATTTTGAAGCCCTTAACATAAAACTAAGCCTTTACATTTGCAATTAAAAGCATCTTTGGTCTGGCTCAGCAGACACGTCGGCTTAATGAAGCAATTTGGGATGTCTGGCGCGGAAAGCAGCCTGTGATGCCGCCCCGAGACGCCGCTGTGGAGGAGGGGGCGGGGGGAGCTGAAGCAACGGGAGGTTCAGTCAATCTGAGGGGGGTTGAAAATGCTTTAGATCAGTGCTTCCCAATCCAGTCCTTGGGGACCCACAGACTGAGGGTCCACATTTTTGTTCCATCCCAGCGGACTGTCTGGCTGGGAGCCAAGAGGGAGCAAAAACATAGACCGACTGTGGGTCTCTGAGGACCGGGTTGAGGAAACACCACCTTAGATGTTGACTGAGTCCTTACCACCATGTCCAGTCTGTAGTCCTATGTAAACAAAAGCCAGATTACAGCCAGTTTTACAGTGACCCAAAGTGTATCTTGGGAGGGGGGGGGGGGGTTATGGTGATTGATTTAATGTTGAAATTAAAGAACAGTCTTTAATAGTGACTGCACTACATCAGCTTCTAAAGCCAGTTGATTTATTTGTGTCTCAGTGAATTTCCCCAAAACATACATTATTTATTAAACTTAATTAAATCATCCATCTGCATAACAATCCACAGTAAACAGTACTAGTTGTAAAACCCTCGCAATTATGTATAAGCCTCACTTTCCCACTTTAAGCATTTAGTGTAACTGGCATTGTAATTATATTTTTTTATGTACATTTTGTTCAAAAAAATATGCATAGATGGTTTGGTGTTATGCTTTGGTGTTGGTCTGCAGTTAATATGAAAAACAAGTGGATTGTAAAGGATGGGTCAGAAATTACAGCAGTGACTGCAGAGACTGTGCGCAAAGCATGTTTTATTACCTACAGAGCAAGGCAGTGAACATTTACCACAAGTAGAAGGAACTGGAGCCCACAGTGGTGCCCAGCCTGGACACGGCTCAATTCACCAAAACACCGTCGTGTCTCACTGAGTGCCAGTGAGCACTGCATTTCTCTGGAAATGTGAATGCAGCTTCAGGTATGGGAAACTGGGATATTGTGCATCTCAAATACAACCTGATGTCCTTCGTTTTTCGGAAGTAGCTTCTCTGCACGGTCTACCATTATAGGTTACTGATCTGGTCACTCTCCTTATATCAGAGGACACACAAAACCACGTGGCTAAGATCACTTCCTCTTCGTCCCAATAAGGCAGCCCCTAAAACACTAATTAAATCAGGCCAGTGACCAGTCCATGCTTTTGATTCCATGCACACGTCTCAGATAAGGCAGGGGGCCATGTTACAATGTGCTTCACAGCCAAGCCATCCCAAGCTGAGGCGTAAACTCCGTAATGATTCCCATCGTCTAGATAGATGTCAGCGTGTCTGGTCTCTGCGGTGGTCCGTGCCGAGGCCACTGGGGGCGGCGGTCTGTCCGACATCGTCTGTCCCGCGAAGCCTGCTGGGCTCAGATGGCTGGTTTTTGCAGCCCGTCTCTCTGCTGTTGGACAGCCAGCCAGGACACGTTCAGGGACAGAGCTAAGGAAGGGCAGAAGGCAGGAGAAAGCTGAGGCCCATCTCACTGCTTCACTTCTCCTGGCGTTATACACATAAATGTGTCTGACATATAATCATACATCATGCATTCACGTATGAAACCCCTGACATACACCCCCGTCTAGCCTGTCTCAATTTAACAACAGCTTTAATTAACTGCCAGGAAACTCTAACTGTATTTATACATAAAATGGGAAGTGCATGGCATGGCACAATGAAAGACACAATGAAAGAGTACTGTGCTATTTATACTTCTGTCAGGACCTGATTGATTACTGCTTAATGACAACCCTGATTTCATGCGGAGAGAGATAGATCTGAGAGCGAGCAGAGGAGGGGTGGGGGGGGGGCTGCATAGAGGTCATCACCCCAACAGAGAAGATACACCACAATGACTCAAAGTACACTTTTCAGAAATATTACATACCATAAATAATGCTGATGCATCACTGCATGGTGCAACTCAGATAACTTGTTACTTTCTATAATATATGAGCTCACAGAGATATCGGGCATATATCCATCCCTCCATCCATCCTCCTGCTTCATTACAGGGTCAGCGTATGTATACACAGCAATTAAACTGGACTGTAATGAAGTCCTCTCAGACGTATTGGACTGCAGATGGGAATGAGATTCCTTTGTGCTGCCTGTAACTGCTGAGGCACTGAGTGTGGAACCGCATTCGCGTGTCGATGGCAAACATCTGCAGAAGCTGCTGAACCAATTTTGTGATCGAGATAATCATCTATAAATTATCCACTCGGCCTGTAAACCAAAAATGTTTTTTGGCTCTTGTATACCTGTCAGTCAGAGAGAAACGTCTGGTAAATTTGAAACATTGAGTAATACCAGTTTACATTTCACTTTTGTACTGAATATACTTATTTCATTATGTAAAAAAAGAAAGTCTCAACCATTGGCATGTATTGTCACAAAATATTAATTAAAACGTATTAATCCTATTTGTGACAATACTCGACTAGTTCAGTAAATCTATACTTTTCAGAGAACGTTGCTCTAAATGTTGTTACTATTACAGCTATTTTTATTCAGCATCAGTATGAATCAGTCATTCTTTCAAATAGTTCTAGTTCTAAATGCTATGTACTGGCTTGAATCAGTATGGGACATGATGGGTACAATTTACTTGCCGTGACAGATAACTTAGCTAGCTCAGTTAGTACTCAATAACAAATCATGAAGTAATATAGTTCATGCATGAAATACAGGACTATCATGAATGATTAATGATAAATGAACATGGGATCACTATGTAACTAACACTTAGTTACTTGTTAATTAATACATTAGTACATAGTGTGCTACATTATGTGCCCCTTCAAGTAAAGGTTACTGACATGATTTGTCCTGTTTTATATATACACATTGGTTCATACCTACACTAAGTCCCCAGAAGGGTCCAAAATATAATTTAATCTAGACCGCACAATTGACCCCCCCCCCCCCCCCAGGCAACATTGTTTGAAATCTAAGGGGGTGGGGCTGGGGGTGGCATCCCTTATTTCTTCAGACTGAAAGTAGTAACCCCCAGCCATGGTCAGGCATTTGCTGCTGTGGAAACCCGTATCAGCACCAACTGGGGGGGGAGGGGGGGGACTGGGCACCTTGACACCACAGCCCGGCTGCCATTAACCACAGGAACAGCGGCTGGGAATGCAGTCACAAGAAGGGTCTTTCTGCTCACAAAAGGCTCCCTTAAATAATAATACTATCGTAATAATGATACTTTATTGATCCTGTGGGGAAATTCTCTTTACGCCTCCCCCGCTTGCTCTCTGCTGGTGAGAGCTAGCTGGCCGTGAAGGGCAGCCTCCTGTTGCAGCACCCGGGGAACTGGGGGTCAAGGGCCGTGGACCCGCTGACATGCTAAGGCTGGGCTCAGACCGGCGACCTGCCCATCACAGGCTCAGAGGCTTAGCCCCCTGAACCTCAGGCTGCCCACTTAAGAATTAACAGCAGCTCTTAAATGGTCACGTCACCTTAAGTGTTCAGATAGGAAGCAGCGTGCAGCTGAGTAACGCCTGACTGCTAATCGACAGAGTATCCTCACCTGGAGGCAAGATCAACTAAAACACGCCTCTGAGCTTGTACATGGTTTAAAAAGTGTATTTCCAGGGGTCTCTCACTATTTATCTCTGCACTATACAGATACAGCTATATTTTGTTAAAGTCAATGCTTTAAACATACCTAATTAGTCATTAATCAGTCCATAGCAGGGCTGGGCGATCTTGACTGCAAAGGGCCGGTGTGTATGCAGGTTTGTGGGGTAACCTTTAGGTCAGCTGTTCAAGCCCAGGTGTGAGGACTCCTCAGCCAACCTAATTAGGGAGTTACAGCGAAAACCTGCATAGACAATAGCCATTTCTGGGTCCTGGCATGCAGGGGTGTGGCCCTTCCAAAGGCTCTGGGGCCGGTTGGGAGATGAGACAAACACTTCTCCCAGGTCCCACCTGAGTCCTGGGTCCAGGCTCAGCGAATAGCACACACTGATTCTCACAAGCACACCCTGGCCATACCCAGGCCCAACAGTAGGGGCAGCATTGCACTTAACGTGACACTAACACATTAGCAGGAAGCTGAGGGATTCTGCAGATTTACTGTATCAGGTCCCGCTCTCCCCTGCCTGAACTGAGCCTGTGTCTGTTTTCAAAGCCATGCAATGCTGCACAACCCTGTCCTGGACAGAAGGATTTACTTACAATGGTTAAGGACTCAAAGTTGAGGCAGCTTCCATCCACTCACCAATATCCAGAGGGAGCCCTTGTCCACACTAACAATAAAAAAATTTCCTTTCACCTGCACACACTGCCTGAGAAATAATCCTCTCTGCATCACCAGGGAAGGCTGAGTTTGAGTTACCAAGGTCTAAAACACATTCTGGCTTATTTCCACAAGGCCAATAAAAGCCACCACAGTGGGATATTGTGTATTTTGGTATCTGAAACAGTTTGTATAGTGGCCAAACCCTATCAAACCAGAGATTAAAATTCATCTATAATCGGTGACAATAAGGCAATGATTCCACATCTGAAAGCACGTTTTGGGTCCCGCTGTTATTGATTTACGCCTGTTCTCTCTCAGGTCAGTATAAATCATTGCAGAAATGTTTTATCGCCACACATTTACTACACACATATATTATCTCTCTCATTTTGCAAGACGACCGAATTCTGGCGAGTCAGCTGGATTAATGCTTTATACTGATGGAGGTGCTGCATTTGCAGTGAGACAGACACGCAGGCTCACGCGGCCCAAGCAGCTGCTGATGGCTCATTCTCCCATGTCTCTGCTCAGCTCTGCTTCCGCGATCATTCTTGCCCAATACATTCGGGGAAAAAAACAGATCGATAAAATGTTTGTCTTATAGAGATGCTAGAACGCTGCAAATTTTAATTTCCAGTTAGAATGTTTTGAGGGACGTACTCAGAAAATCTATTGTCACAAACACCCCAAACAATGTCCGTATGTGCGCCTAACAGTGCCTCACAACTGCTTCCAATCTAAAGCTTCCTGATGTCTAAGCTCTGCGGGGCCTGATTGCCCCAATCTGGAGACGAGG